CAACATCTAAATATAATACTATTAGCAAACACTTATTCGATAAGCTTGAATCTGATCATGGATTAGAAGGTATAGTTGGTTATGATCTGATAGGTGAAGAAATAAAAAGCTTAGATTTACAGTTTCGTATTAAAAGAAAGTAGCAAAGTTTAGGTGATACTGAACCAATAGACTTTCAAATTCATAAAAATCTATTATTCAATCTGGTGTTAAGGCAAGATTAGTTATAAATGTGTGAAGCAAAAATAAGCTTTAGACATTCTCCCAAAACCTATGTCTGCTATGCTAAAATTGTAATAGATAGTATGAGTATCTCGTTATTCGATGAAGATTTTAACAAAGCTAGCTCAACTAAAAATAATTTATCTAAATCAACAGAATCTAAACCTAGTCTAGCTCAAGAGGAGGTCATGAATATAATTAACAAAATTCTTTCAAATATTGGAGATAGACCCAAAGGATCATTGCTTTGCAATATACTTCCTACACATCTACCATTCAGAAGATTAAATAATGATATTTTTAAAAATAAGAGTAAGAAAAATAATGTCAAATATTCTATAGATGCTTCTTCTAATTCAGATACTTCAGACAGCAATTCAAGTAATTCTTCTATATCTAGTTCAGAAATAGAAGTTACACATACGCATAAGACTAGAGCAGTAAAAAATGCTCTATTTGAAAGTGTAAAATAAAAGATAAAGTTAATTATCAAGCTTGATGATCTTATATATAGCCACAAAGTGAAGTAAATTATATTACGTTATAATGGGCCTCAAGGAAACAATGTCATGTCTTTTAAATCCACGAATCAGAGATCAGCATAAAAGTAGTTCAGTATTAACCAACTCACTAACCACACCTATTGCAGAGCAATAACCTTTTGGGTCTACCCTTAAGCTAAATTTTTTATTTACGATTGCTAGCAAAGATCAAGTAATTCCCCTATACTAATTAATTCTGAATGAATAGATCACCAAATCTGAAATGAGATTTTATAAAATCTGCAAATTGGTTTGTTAATACAGAAATATATTATAAAATAGAATAAATGAATAATAAATTTCAAAGACTTATCTGGTTAAAGTTTGAGTAAATGTATTGATTTAGATATTATATCTGTTTATTTTTTAGCTATCAAATAATTCTAAGTAGTAAAAAAATAATATATAGTCAGATAAATATGAAATGATAAGAAAAATTTTCATCATTAACTAACTCATCATAACCTATACTATGAGTAATGAACTACTTAGTGAAGGAGAACTTATCAAAAAATACTTCAAACGAGCAGAATTATTAAAAGCCTTAGGAATAAATATCTTAAAAAGTTATCCAAACTCTCTTGCAAGTAATATCACAATACCAGAGCTAGAGAATTGTCATGAATATAATGAAGAAATTTTGTTAAATCCACCCAAAGCATTTACTACACTCATGTGTGATCATATACTCTATTATAACTGTCTTGAAAAAAGTAATAGAGATAAGCAAAAAACTTATCCTATTTGTTTCGTAGATAATGAAGGAATAGTATTAGCTGAAGTTCAAGATGTAGATATGTCAGAGGCAGTAGAAGATGAAGGTAAAAAAACCTCTAATCTAACAGGAGTGGTAAGTAAGTTATCTGTAGATGGTGGTAAAGCTATCTTACAAAGTGAAACAAAATCCATAGAACCTGATAAAGTACAAGGTTTAATAAAAGAACTATCTATGCCAAGTGAACTGATTGATGATAATAATAAAGAAAATAAGAGCAAGAAATCAAAACCAAAAACTTTACTCCAATTATACTATAATGCAAGCTGAGTAGAAAAATGTGTAACTCATGCCTACTAAGAAGAAATAAGATGCTGATATCTCTTTGCTGAAAAATTCGAAGAAAGAGTCAAAGAAATTAAAAATGATAATAGTAGATTCAATGATCAACAAGCTAGAGAGTTAGTATATGATGAAATTGCAACTAATCTTCCAGGCTTTACAAGAGAAAGTTTGCATAAAAAAAACAGCAAAGACAAGAAATATCTATAAGTTGTTCGGAGAAAGTTATGACCCTGAAACCAAAACAGTAGTTAAGAGACTAGGGATTGAAAAAATAGAACGAATTCAATCATATAGTGCGGATTATATTTCAAAACTTAATGCTACACAAATT